CGACACTTTACGTCGCAAATGGAGTGAGGACAGCTCCACTGTCTACACCCTCTCCGGTTTGTGTGAAAACATGACGGAACCCGGGGCAGCAGTGTCCAGGCAGGGCTGCCCAGGAACGAGGCTGTGCGCAGGGGGCCAGGAGGACGGTCCAGCTCATGCTGTGTGCCTGCTGGGGCGCGAGCACGCCAGCGTCTAGTCATCGGGGTGGAGGGCTCTCGCGGCAGGCGTGGGACGCGGCGGGCACAGACACAGAGGGAGGGAGGCCGGTCTACACCGCTGGTCAGCACAAACGAGACCGAAGTTTCCTGAAGTTCCAGAACTCCGTCCTTCTCAGAAAACACGCAGCCCCGTCGAAGCGCGGGCAGAGCACAGAACGCAGGGTCAGTGTTCACTTTCTCCGGGTTTGATGACGTGACGGGAGTACGGGCCCCAGGGTCAGAAGCGGGACTGGCCCTGGGCTCCGGCCCTTCCAGATTTCGGGGCGCCGAGCCTACCCTGGGCGATCTGCACATGCCCGCGACCCACACAGGCCCGCGGCGCAGGCTGTCTCCGCGGTGAGCCCCCCTCGTGGCACAGCGCGACAGTGGCGGACGCAGTCCATGTCTCCTCGGAGAGCAGCTGCACACGAGTCATTCTGCGAAGGGTCTGTGTGTCTGCCCTGATCGGTTTTGCTGACTGAGGACAAAACACTACGAAAATCTGTTTGCGCTGGAGGATGTGGGTAATCTGAGAAGCATCTAACAATGTCGTCACGCAGTTTCATGACTCGGAGCTCAGAGCCGAGGCTCGAACCACCCGAGGGGAACTCGGTTTTGGACGACACTTTGAGAGCAACGTTTTCCCGCTGCACTTATGAAGATCGATGTTGGAAAAGGACAAAGAATGATGGAAGTTGGATTCCGGTTCTTTCTGTCTCCCAAAGCTCTGAGAAAAATGGCCCCACAAGGAATGGTCCCAAACCTCGGGGTCACCACAGACGACTCGGGACGTGAGGTGTTTCCTTCCCTCCGCAGTCCCACCAAGCCCGCGGATGAAGTTTCTCCTGGAAATGTGGCTTCCTGGCAGAACGGCCCTCGACCGGCTGTCAGGAATCATCGCGGAAAAAACGTGACTCTGCGACGGCCGTGTGAAGGCCGAGACACACTTATGACAGGAACCGAGGCCGGTGGGGACGCCCGGCTCTGCACAAGGAAACCGGACACCAAAACAGCAGACAGAAGCCGAGTTACTCTCAACAGATCCCACAAACATGAACACAGGCACCACTGGAGCCTGCAGACCCTTCTAGAATCAAACATGCCACCCCAAGGCCAATGCCTCGCGGTCTGGGGAGGGAGGATGCTCGTCTCCCTGAACACAAACGCCCTCGAAAGCAGGACTTGAGGATTGAGCATAAAATGAGCACTGAACAGCCAAAGAGCCAGAACGCCACCTGGTCAGGGCCATTGTCACCAGCGCCGTGATGTCAGAGAGCGCCTGGGGGACAGCCTGGAGGAGGGGCAACAGGAAAGTGGGGGAAGTGCAGGGGCCCGCGGCTCAGCCCCTCTGCTGGTGGCACCAAGGGCAGGGACCGCATCCAGAGTCCCCTACCTGCTCTGCACCCGCGGGAGGCCCGGCACAATGTCCCCCACCACAGGGGCCACGTGCCCGTCTGCACCCACAGGACGAGGCTCGGCCGGCCAGAGCGCCCGCCATGTGCCCAGACGGTCCGCCTCCTGTCTCCGCCTCCGCCACGGGAAGTCGGCAGGGGCGAGCCGCAGGACAAAACCTGAAAACCGCAGGACTTCCCGAAACTTGGTCTCCACGGAGATACGTTTCTTCCTAAACATGAAATACATCAAAACCGCTTTTGCTGAGTTCACTAAATGCTTCTGGTGAGTCTCTTGGCAAATAAAACACAAATATTTGGGTCACCTGGTGTGTGATTCTGCACACAGGAAGCAGGTGTGAAATGTTTCTAGACCCTCCTCACAGCTCTTAAGAGCAAAAGGCAGACGGTCACTCTCCGCCAGTTTCCCACGGTCAGGTTCCCGTGAAGTAGGGAGAGTCGCCCGTTCCCTGCCCCCCCACGCCCGGCACCGACGGGGCCGCGCCGGCTGTCTCTGGGCAGAGCTGCAGGGCCCCCGTGAACCGAACCCTTCCCGGGTCCTGCGCACGGCTCAAGGCTCCTCTAGCGCAGAGGACTGGACTGTGGGCCCCGCTCCGTCCTGCTCCTCCCGGCGAAGGGGTCTTGGTGATGCCCATCATTGTGCCTGCTCAGAGCAGGAGCGAGGAGAGCTCCTCCCCCCACCCACCCACCCCAGACCCACTGCCAGTCCTTCCAGGGGCTGCCATCCCAGGTGAGGCTGGCACACGGCCCGGGTGCTCGCCTCCAGCAAGGGGGACTGAGGCCAGGCGGGTGCAGAGCACCCCACCCAGAGTCCTAGCGACCTTCAGCCGACGCACTGTCACCGCTCTACTTGGACACGTGCCCCCCAGGCTTCAGTTCATGACAACCTTGAAACAGTCGAGCTTAAGGGGAATGGATAATCTCCGATATCACACGAAGCACGTAGCACGACGCGCATCTGCGGAAAGCTGGCTGACCCCGCAAGAGCAGAAAACAGGTGGCTTCGAGCTCCCCGCGTCCCCGCAAGGAGAGGCCCACCTGTTGGTGTGCAGCACCGAGACGGACGGGACGCCCCGTCACAGCAGCAGACGACGAGGCACCACTGCTCCCGAAACTCGGCACGCGCACGCAAGCAGCTCAAGTGTCAGATTTTGAAGCAATTTGGCAATTTAAGAAACTCATTTAATTTTCCTCAGTATCTCAAATGTTCTTCTCATGATGATTCTGCCCACGGTAGTGACTTTCTCTCAGCCTCGTGAAGATGCCCCAATTCCCTCCAGTTCCCCTTGGAGCGGCGTCCTCTCCTCCCCTGCACCCAGAGCCCAGAGCAGGGACGGGTGTCCCCTCGGCCCCGCGGCATGGTCCCTCAGGGGACCCTCCCGTCACGGGACCCATCCCTGCCACAGCACGTGTCCGCTGCAGCGACACAGTCCCTCTGACAAGGACACGTCCTCGTCCACAGCACGACATGCCCGGAGACAGGGGCAGCTGCTACAGGCTCACCTGAGACCCCAGTCCCCCAATCCGGACCCAGCCCCTCGGCCCCGTGAGAGCATCCAGGCTGCCAGGAGGTCAGAGCCCCGGTTAACACCCTTCTTGTCCTTTCTCCTGACTTCTCCCGTCTCACATTTGCCCAGGACACAGAGCCCGGAGCAGTCTGGCTTCCTCCAGGAGCTGCCCCCTTCCCCACCTGCTGTAGGCCACTCGGGGCCAGCAAGCGGTCGCCCTGACGACAGGCTTGACAGGAAGAAGAACGCCAGTCCCCGTTTGAAAACGTGGCCCATTTATTTGAACTGACAACATCGGTACATAGTGCAAACGTTTCTTTGGTAATGAACTGATTACAATGAACACAGAAGGCACTTGGCTGTCGGCTACGGTCAGAAAGTAAATAAATATGTACATTTGCTTCGCGAGGCGGTGATCCCCCCACAGTGGCCGCAGAGGGTCCCTCGGGGCCCTGCCCACAGCTCGGACACCGCGTGTGCGATGAAACCAGGGGCCCGACGCTCCCGCCGCAGTCACACACCCTCACCGTGAGTCGCAGACAGCCGCCCCCCACCCCGCCGAGAGCGCGGTCCCACCCCACATCCTGACCCGCGTGCATGCGTGCGCGTCTGTGGCGAGGACACATGGCCGCCTGCGAACGGCAGACCCCGGGGCACGGGCGCCGCCCCGTCCCCTGATGCCTGAGCAGCTTTCCTAACCACCACGCTGGGCGCGCGGTTATCCACTCTCTCGCAGGCAGAAACGGCTCTAAGGCTTGGTGGTCAAAGGTGACTTGATATCCCCAAAGACGCCCCACGCCCCGCGAGACACAAGCTGGTATTTGCCACTTGGCGTCCCGAGGCCAGGGAGTCAGGTCGGCCGTGTTTAAAGCCACTGTGGACACGCACGACGGGAGTGCTCGCCCCACCCCGTGGTCGTGGCAGCCCGGTCAGAGCCTGGGATCTCCTGCTTCCGGAAGGAGGCCCGCACCGGGCCAGACTGGGCTCTGAACCCGCCCACCACGTGCCCGACCCCCGGAGACCTACCTCCAGGCCTCCGGGGTGACGGCCAGCCCACAGCGCCCCACCCTGGACCGGCCACCACATACTGGGACCACCTGCGTCCTTGGGGGTCGCGTGGGGGCCTTGCGTCTGTGCACGCTCCTCAGGACACGCATTACCTCGTGTCTAGAACAAGGAGGAGGCCGCTGGTCGAGTACGAAGAGAGAGACCATGAGGTACGATGGTTGCTTTTCTCGGAACTCTAAGACAACTTTTGCGTAGTGGGAAGTGATTTTCTGCCGTTCCCGACACCTAGAAGGTGCGCAAAATCTCACACAACGTCATGCATTTCAAAAATACAAATGAGGTAAAGGGGTCGGTGTTGTTTCTTTAAGGCACTCACACGACCTGAACGTAGGAAGTCCCTCCGCACGGAGAAGGCCGCAGCGCTCGGCTGGGACCAGAGCCCAGTGTGTGCCGCGGGCCCAGCCTTCGGCAGGAACGGGCTTCACATCTGGCCCACGCCGGGCAGCGTCACACGAGTGCTAGTGAAAACCAGCCTGTTTCTGCCTTTCTGCACGTGGCTTCATCTCACTCTCACGGGCGAGCCGCTGGAAGCCGCGGGTGAGCGGGGCCGTCCGTTCAGGGACGACACGCGGGCACCCACCGCCCAGACCGTCACCCCGGCTCTCCCGCGAGTCTGTCTGTCGGCCACGCGCCGCTCTTCCCTTCCCAGCGCGGCGTGCGTCCTTCTGGCGGCTCCGTGACGTGCCCTGGCTGCGGGGCTGGCGGCGGGGGTGGGGCGGGGCTCGTCTGCAAGCTCCAGCTGTAGAACCAAGTGGGACTCACTTTTGGTTGAGAAGAAATGGCGGCATCCAGGGAAGTGAATTTAGGAGCCTAAATGACTTAACTGTGCAATTTAATAGTAGCACCAATATTTCATCAGAAACATTAAATAAAGACCTGAGAATCTAACGTGAAGTCAGGACACGTGTCCGTGGTTTCTCCTGTGAATGCTGTGCTCTGAGCACCTGTGCTCCGCCGAGACGGAGGGGGTCCCTCCCGTCCGCACGCCCTGTGCCGGCCATCGGTCTCAAGGACATGTGGAGGGCCCCGAAGGCCTCGCCGAGCCTAAGGCTTCCTCCCCGGGCCGTCTCTCGGGCAGACCGGACAGCAGGCCCCACGGGCTCTCACGGGCGCTGGGCAGTCGGCAGGCGGGCAGGCCTCCACGAAGCAGGTGACCTGCCCGTCCTGGGAAAGAGAAGCACCAGGACCTGTCACTTCCTGGGGCACGTGGCCTGTGCCTCACCCCCTGCCTGTCAGCCCCTCCGACCGTGACCGGTCTGGGCCCCTCGGTGCAATCTGTACTGCGGCCGACGGCCCCGCTGACCCACAGCTGCCCCCTGCACTCCTCCCAAGGTTCCCGCCCCAGCCCCACTACCCACCTGCCCCGGAGAGCTTAGGACCCCATACCAGCTCAGCACAGCCCCCAGATTCACATCTGGGATGTCCACCAGGGGACAAAGTAGGGACACCCACAAGGGACACCCCTTCCCGTCCCCGCATCACCAAACATGCCTGGACACCATGGTCGACGTGGCCACCACGTCACCTCCGTCCCCTTTCTCTGGGGACCAAGAACCACCTGGCAGGCCCACCCGCCTCACTGGTGCAAACACCCTAAGGCAGCCTGGGCCGGGGGTCTGCAGGCCCACCGCGAGCAGAGCTCCAGGGGTTAGAGCGCCTCCCGAGCGGGGTCCCCCACCTCAGAGCGCAGCCCGTGCCCCGCTGCCCACGGCAGAGCCCCAGACGCACCCGGCACTCGCAGATGGAGCACGCGTCCCGCCTCCACTTGGCGCCGTTGGCGTGAGGGCCCCCGTCCGCGTCCGCGCAGTCCGTGGAGCTGAGCCGCAACTCCAGCCTCTTAATCTGCAGCAAAGCAAACACGTGTCCTGCTCGCTGGGGGGAAGGTCTGAGCTCTGCGGTGCCGCTACCTCCTGCCCAGCGAGGACGCTTCAGGTCCCGAGACCTCCGGGACAGCCCTGGGAGAGCCTTGCCGCGTCGGGCATCAAGGGGCAGGGCCTGCGGCGTACGGCAGCTCCGGGGAAAGAACAGAAACACGGAGGGGATGGGAGAGGCCCCCACAGGGCCGTGTGGGAGCGTCCTGCCCAGAGACTCCCGGACACGGATAGCCCCGACCGGTCGCCCTCCCGCACCATGGGCGTCCCAGGGCGACCCTCCTCCACCCCTGATGTGGCTGCCGACGCTGACAGCGGCTGCGCGGCCGGACGTGCTTCTCGCTGGGCCGTGGGAGCTCCGGCAGCCCGCAGGACGCCCACCTCATCCACTGGTCCTGCAGCGGGGTCTCCGCTGGAGAAACCAAACCTCGCGACCCGCACAGAGAACGGACACGAGCGGGTGCGGCTGCTCCAGGGAGCACCTGCTGGGAGGTCGGCTCTGGTCAAGGTCAGGGCGTGGAGACTGGATTCAACACGCAGAAACCCCGCGTGCTCCTGGCAGGTAACGGTCTCCATCTACCCCGTGTGACAGCGTGCCGGTCACCGCCCGGCCTCCAGGCTGTGCAACTACACGGCCTCCCTGGTCCAGGCCACCTCGCCCTGCAGCCCGGCGGCCCGAGCGCCGTCCGCCCTGGTCCTGGGCACGGGCGGGTCTCAGCTGCGGCTCTGAAGGGAGCCGCCTCCTGCACTCGGGCCCTCGTTAGCACAGATCTTGGCGTCCCCAGACCTGAGAGCCGTCTTCCGAGTCGTGAAGGAAGGAGGACCCCCGAGGCCGCATGGGCAGCAGCCATGGGCCAGGCAGGGCTGCTGGGGCAGTGGGGGGCTGTCCTCAGTGGCTGCGGACAGGATTTCAAGCCGGAAGCTGCAAGGACAGACCTCACCCAGCGTCTCCCCAGAAGACGAGGGCGGGAGCACATCTGCGTGAACCAGGCAGCACCCTGCAGAGTCAGAGGCGCCCGAGAACGCTGTCCCCACCCCCGCCAGGAGAGACAGTGAGGGCAGAGGTTCTGTCCGCAGCTCTCAGCACCCAGCGGCCCTGCCCTGGAGTTCGGGGTGCGCAGCGGGAGGGGATGCACACCGGCATAATTCCGTCCCGCAGCTGGGTGAAGCCACAGATGGAGTCACAGGTGTGTGCGGTGGGGGAGGCTGGTGGGCACAGGGGCAGGGCCCGCGGGTGCAGAGGGTGGGACCGGTGGGCACAGAGGGCGGGGCCGGCAGATGCAGAAGAAGGGGCCGGAGGGGGCAGAGAGCTGGCTGGCCTCAGGGCCACCCGTCCCCCTTCCTGTCTCTGCTTCCACTGACCCATCTGCAGAGTGTGACCCCTCCTTTCGGCACGCCACTCACCTGTGCACACCTCGTGGTCACCGGTCCAGGCAGCTGGCCTGGAGTGACTGTCTCTAGGACCCACAGCACCCACCTGTCTAGGGCTGAGTCCCCAGGAGGCCCTGTACCTCACAGCCTGGCCGTCTCTCTGGCTGTAGGTGAGGGTCGAGGGGCTTCTCTCCTGGTGCCACGAACCCCACCCTCTGCCTGGTGGCCACGTCCCCTCCCACCGGGCCTCCTGTGTCTCTGCACTCACACAACTGCAGGCCGTCCGCCGAGACCAGAGCTCCTCCTTGGAGAAGGTGCTGGTGCTGGTGCCCCCCCCACATCTGAGGGACCAGACCACAGAATGCCTGCTGACCCCTCCCTGGGGACAAGGGTTAGAGCGACACTCCTGGAGAAGCAGCTCTGGAATAGGACCGAGGTCTGAATTCTCTGTGGCCCCAACCCTCAGCCCCTCCTGGCCTACGATGTCAACAGCGGCTCCAGGGACCCCGCAGCCGTCACAGGGGTGCCTGCGCACAGCCCACAGTGAGTGCTCACCAGCCACCAGGGAACTGGAGTGCAGCCCCCTATGGCCGGGCCGGGGACAGGCCACAAGAAAAGAGCCGCCCAGACAGGAGCTCCCAGTCGGGGAGCTGGAGCCGACTTCACATGGGAGGGCCTCGGGAGCAAGAACGCCGTCTGTGGTGCGGGACGGGACGTGCAGGGACAGTTACCTGCTCTCTGAGGTCTGTGATGGTCTTCTGCATTTCCTGAACGAAGTCCTTGAAGTCGTTCGTCCCTGGCATCTGTGGGTGCTCGCGGGAGGGGGCTGTGGCATTTCCTGGGTGCTTTCTGTGTTTCCCGATGCTGCACGGGGGAGAAGGAGAAGCCACCAACAGACCTCAGTGTGTTGCACGTGGCTGCAGGCGCCCCCGCCCAGAGCCTAGGACCCTGCCTCAGGGACAGCCATACCTCGGTGTCCCCCCGGGGCCTGCTTCCCCAACGGGCTCGTCCTCCTGGTAGCTGAACCCCAGCGATCGCCTGCCTCGGAAGTGGTGTGAAAAGGCGTTGAACTGTCCCCTGGTCCTGCAGTCTGAAAAGAGTGTGCGGGGTGTGAGCGGTCGGCTCTGGCTCAGGAGACGCAGGGCACATCCTGAGGAACGTCACCGGCACGTCGATGACAAAAGCCGCAGCCTCATGGCAGGCCTCCTCCCTCCACGGGCAAGTCTTGGCCTCGGCACCGAATCCTCCTGGCCCAGCAGCCCCCCAGCCTCGCCTGGGCTCCCCACCAACAGACAGGACTGCCTCCTCCTCCATGAACGCACCACACGCCCGTCCTCTCAACCCCGCGATGGCTTCCCACCATGGCATCACTGCCCTCTGCGGCCCGGGCGCTGTGCTCACAGGGGCACCGTACACACGCCCGTGCCCCCTTGTCCCTCGTCCCACCTCCAGGGCCTGCTCTACTCAGGTCCCTCCTGCCTGACCACGACTACCCCATCCCACAAACACCCGGCTTCATGCCGCGCCCCATCCGCCCAGGACAGGCCTGGCCGGGAAGGTGGCAGAGGCTACACACGGCCCTTCCCAGGTGCTGAGGCATGCAGAGCGGCGGTGAAAACCCTCGGAGAGAAAGTACACGGAGAACAGGCTGCTGTCCCCCGCCCCGGCCTAGCGGGCCCGCGACTACCGCGGGAGGCGAAGGCCAGAGACAAGACCGCCAAGCGCTCTGCGATTTGATTCAGCGCCGGAACACGCGTCTTCCCGCTTGGACCTGGACCCACAGCCCAAAACTCCAACCCTGAGGCAGGTTCACGGCGTAACGCACCGGACCCAGGAGGCCTGGGCTACGCTGCCACCAGAGCGCTCGCCCCCAGCGGGGCCCCCGGCTCGCAGGCCACGCGCCCCCTGGGGAGGCAGAAGGAGCTCACGTCAGAGACAATGGCCTCCATCTTCCAAACCCAGAAACGTGCCCGTCCTCACAGCCACCCCGTCGGGCAAATGTGAATCCACGTTCCAGCCCCATCCCCTGCGTCCAGGTCACGGTGGTGGGACACGCGGCACCGCGCGCCTCCTGAAGCGGCCCCGGGAGGACACCGCCTGCCCCGTCCGCACCCGCGCCCGGGACACCAGCCTGGGTCTGAGCGGAGAAAAGCGGGCTGGGAGAGTCCACCGTGGGTCTGGAGGAAGGCGGCTCCGCACCTGCTGTGGAAAGTGGGGGCCACGAGGCTCGGCACGAGACTCCCCGCGGGAAGTGCTCGGTGCGCGTCCGCCCTCCCCCGATCCCGCCCCCCACACCCACGTCACTCAGGGGAGCGGCACGCAGCCTGCGACGTCCTCGGCCGGTTTAGGAAAACACGTGGCACGTTTCTTCATAAACGCACACATGCATGTCCACACAGACCCACGGATGCATGCATACCACACACGTGTGCACACGCGTGCTCACGCAGACGGCCGTATCACGGGGTGAGAGAGGACAGTAACACCGGACGAAATGAGTCTGATGAAGTACAAAGATTCTTTGTACTAGTTTAAAATTAATGCAGTTATTTCAAAACTGTGTGTCTGAGCGTGCGCGCACGTGCCCCATCAAGCCCCACAAAGGCCAACTTCTAACTTTGGTACAAGAAAGAGAAACTGCCCACCCAGGCGCCGCTTCTCTGGGCTCTCCTGTGCGAGTTTCACGCCCGGGGCTCCGCACACACTCCAGGACCACGGGGAGCTCGAGCTGCTCTCTCGGAGTTTTTTGGAAAGTGGAATGGAAGGTAAACAGCAACCGACATCTGGTCCTGTCAGACCTTAATTCTTTCCTTTCTGCTGTGTTTTAGACGTGGCTTTTGACCTATGACGGAAGACAGAGCTTCCGAAGCATCCTTGAACCTGGCCGGCTCAGGACCTGGAGGAAACGCGTCCAGCGGCGGGAAGTCAGAACGGCCCCCGCCGCGGCACGGACGAGGGAACGGCCCCGATGACGCCGCCCGGCTCTGAGTCTCTGTCTCTCCAGGGTCTCCGGCTTTTCCGAGTGAAAACAGCAGAAAACCCAGCTCTGCCCCTGTCTAAGCAGCCAGGGGGCCTGATGGCACCATCACGACGTGAAGTTTTGTATCTCGAAAAGAAGCGGCCTTTCCCGGGGGCTTGCGAGGAGCAGGTCTCTGTAGGCACAAGGACCAAACTCCGTGCCCACCCTCGGAAATGTGAGCAGAGCTGCACAAACCAGCAAGGATAATTTTTTAAAAAAAGTGAAAAAACACCCCAAAACCAGTTTCCCTTAGATGCAGCAGGGGGACTGTAAATGTTTCGGGACACGGGATGCGCAGTCAACTCAGCTCCAGTCGTCACGCGAACCGTCCTGTGACACGACGCACCGCGTTCCGCACCCGCCCGCACACACGCACCACATCCACGCAGAGGACGGCCAAGCGGACAGACGCCGCGCCTGATCGGCACGGCCACCACGCACAGACGTCGGCAGAGGACAGCGCTGACCTACCAACCCAGAGTCTTGCGCTCACGGACATGACGGCCGACGGAGAGCCACGGCCAGAGCTGCTTCCCCCGGAAAGAGGTGGGCAGAGGCCGCTCGAGGCCGAGGGTGGAGGCGGGAGCAGCCATCTCCACGGCAGGGGACCGCTGTGGGTCAGCCGCCTCTGGCCGCTGAGGAGCAGGGTCTCGTGGCCAGCTCCGGACGCCTCCCGCTTCATCCTCCCCGAGTCTGACCGCCGTTTGAGTAAAGCCCAAATTACGTTCAGGTCAGGAAACGAGCATCGAGGTGAGCAACAGCGGGATCTGCGAATGCAGGGGAGCCGCAGAGCGAGGATGGCCGCAGCGGCAGGGACCCAGCAGCCCCGCTGAACGCGTCCCAGGCCTGTGCGCGGACAGCCGCCCCTCCAGACCTTCCACAACACTCTGGCAACGCGTGTTGTCACGGGCGTTTGGAACGCGCGGCACCCCGAGTCGGGTGCGAGCTACGCTTCCGGACAGTCTGAGTCCGGTGCCGTCCGCAGGGGCCCACAGGACACTCGTCCAACACGCAAGTCCTCCCAGGAGACGCGCGCTCGGTGTTAAGGAAAGAGCTGACGCCAGACTGACTGCTTATTCCTGCCTCCTGCGCGCGGCCCTCGGTCCTGAGTTCTTACAGAAACAGCACCGTGTCAGGAGCGGCTCCTCACCATCACGGCCCGGGCTCTGCTGCATCCCCGAGGGGCCACCCCGGAGCTGCGGCATGTGGGGAGCGGGGATGACGTTCCCCAGTGCGTGCAGCAGGCCTCCAAGACGTGCACCCCGCCACGCGGCAGGCCCCCGGGACACGCACCTTCACAGCAGTCCTGCCACACGCGCAGGTCCACCCTGGGGATCTCGTCACAGCTGCTGTACCCGTGGGGGAACTCCGCCACACGGAACACGTCCCTCTGCACGCGGGTGATGTTGTCGGCGTTGTCACACAGGATCCTGGCCAGGGACGTCTGCTTGATCTGGGTTAGCTGCGCCGGGGAGAACACCCCCGGGTTTTCATACCATAACCTGTGCTTCCCGAGAACGAGACAAAGCACACACAGGAGGTGAGTTAAAACATTCCCCGATCAGCTCTGTGGACCGTGTAGACCCCGCAGGCGTCCACTGGGTATGGCTCACGGAGGGACTCAGACTCGGCTCAGCTTTCCGACTCAGAAACAACAAAAAATCTGGACGAAAACCAGCAGCGGGTCGGCTGCTTGGAAGGCAGCACGGGCCACGGTTGGAATCCACGGCCTGGCGCACGGCGCCGGAGGGCTCCCTGGGGCGGGGGGCGGTGTCCTCTCCTACGTGAAGCTACACTAACGACACCCATGAAACCTGAAACTTGGCGGTCCTGCCGGACGCTCAGACTCCTCCAGACTCCCACAGCATTGGACCCTGTGAATTCTCTATTCCTAGGAACAGAAATGTCTTAAGTGGAAGGACACAGAAGCACCCGTGAACAAGGCTGTGTAACTCTCGGGCGCGGTGGGAGGGACGTCCCCACATCAGGGAGCCGATCACAGCGAGGGGTGACGGCGCTCATTCACTTTCACCTGCACACGGAGCTCCGGCAACGGCTCCTTGCCTTCCCGAGTCCCCAGAAAGGTGCATTAAGAGCAGAGGCTCTTCCCTTTGACACCTGCCTTCACCCATTCCTGTGGCACCTGCCCTCACCCGTCCCCGTGGCACCTGCCCTCACCTGTCCCGAGGCACCTGCCCTC